AGAGGCCTCGAGAGAATCCGGTCCTGCCAGCATCTTGATTTTGGACTTCAGCCTCCAGATATGTGAGAGAATAAATTTCTCTGATTTAAGCTATCCAGTCTGATATTTCATTACGGCAGCCCAGGCAGACTAATACACACTGGTTATTGAACCTCTTCACTGGGCTTTCTGCCAAGTCCTGATTCTTTTCAGTCTTTTCTCAACATTTTAAATACAAATCTGGTTATTTCATTTCTTTGCTGTGAAAAGCTTTCAGCTATTTTAGAATGAAATCCATAATCCCTCATGAGATACATAAGGCCTTTCTGGTGTGTTTCTTACCTGACTCCAACTTCCTTTGCCATCCCCACCCCATTTACATGAGCCAAACTAACAAATGTCTCACTGTTATCCACATGGCTAAGATGCCTCACAACTCTATTCTGTTGAACTATTCCTTCTGCCTGTGGTGCCTGTCCCTTCCTTTTGTCTTCCAGGAAAATCCTTATCCTTCAAGACTCAGTCTTAACATTAACTCTTTAGGTCCCTTCTCCCCTAAGTCTCCCAGGAAAAGTTAGGTGCTAGCTCTTCCCTACTCATGTGGCAGCCTGTACAGTGCGATTTATTGCCTTCATGTCTGCCTCCTCTGGACTTTAAGTCCTTGAACACGTCTGGTTTTTCATCTTGGTTCCTGGTGCCTAGAATAGCTCCTTACACATGGAAGGTATTCAATTGATAGGAGAATTTGTTAGAAGCTTTCAGCCTTTCTATGTGATTTAAGCCTACATAAACTATTTTGATTAAGGGGAAATGTATATGTAGCCTGTTTTTGAGATTTGTTTTGCTACCTAGAAACTAGGAAGTATTATATTTTTCTTGAATACTCCATATACTTTTCAATACTTCTAGGAATGTTTTGTTTTTGTCAGACCAACTTCTTAGCTTCTTATTTTGCTAGTTGTATTTTTTAAATATATTTTTTCTTTGTAGATTCTAAATATTTTTTCTTACAAATTTAGAAGTTTACTTTTATTCTAACACTAAGGTTTTTTTCCCTCCTGGTTGTATGGAATGTGTTTAACTTTATGTTTTCATGAAGCTGATTTAAGTGTTATGACTTCCACTAATGAAGAACATTTCCACTGAAGTCCTTCTGAGAATGCCTAAATTAGAGATTAACCACAGTGATGACTTTTCAAAAGGCCAGGCCCTCATTTCCATGTAAACTTCAAACAAGTGATTTGATTAATTTAGATGTGCAGCAAGGCACTGACAAAATGAGGACCCTGGGACTGACTTCTAGCTCAGTACTACTATACCAAAGGAAGTGAGAAAATGCATATTTTATAAGAAAAGGAAAAGAAACGAGTCCAGGAAAATGAAAATCGATACAAAAAAGAATGTTTTCAAAATATGCTACTGAGCTCTTCAGTGAAAGCTACGTACAAAGTTAAAATAATATACTGTTTTAGAATCCATAGATAATACACAGTAAACATTGATTACAGCATGGAATTTAAGTACCAACCCTGACCATGTAAAAAGACAATTGATAACAGCTGGAAGATTGAAGGAGCAGGGTGAAAGGAGACCTAAAGGGAAAAGGGTGTTAATATCCT